GTGTGTGAGAGAGAGAGAGAGGAAGAATACACCAGTGTGTACACGCATCACTGGCTACAATATACTGTAGTATTTGCTACATGTCTATTGCAGATGCATGTGTGCAGACTGAGCACAAAAACTGTCTGTGAACCACAACTGAAACTTTTTAGTTATGATGATAGCCTTGTTGCTGCATACATACTGAACCTGACTGTAAACACCAAGAAAGACTCAGTTCTTTGTAAGTAGTAGTAAGTAAAAAACCCATAAATGTAACCTTTAAAGGTTCAATTGACCTAATAACAAAGCAACCACCCAGAAACACTACTCTGACAAAACAGTCACAACTTAAGGCCCACTTACTCGCTTTTTCCAGAACCTTTTCACACGGTCTTAATCAGCTAATGGAGTTTGCTCGGTTGTAATCCATAGCACTATCCATAGAACATCTCCTTAACGTTGCATTAAAATTTAGACAGTGCAAGTGATGCAAAGGATGAAATCATAACAGCTACTGACAGATCTATCTTGATAACTCTGGGAAAATGGGGGATTGCCCATTATCCATAGTCCTAAAGATTTCCCATTGGCCCTAAAGCCCATTTGTCTGGCAGCCCATTTTCTTGAAAACAAAAACCCACTGCTCTGAATGCCAGTTTTTCCCAACAACACCTTGAGTTTTGTATTTATTGTGTTTAGGAAAAGATCATGGTTTGGGTTCCAATGAGTAGTTACGTCAGCTAAGTTACATACGTTGGTTAGTGACTGCAGAGTGTGTACTTTTGCAACGGGTTGCGGGTTGTTGGACAAAATGATCTCTTGGTCCAGTAGGACATTTCTCAGACTGTTGCACTATTGCGTTAGGCACTGATACAAAATGCTAGTAAGTGGAAATTAAGTTATATTAAGATTTTGTAAAAAGATATATTTCAATTCAGTTCAATTCAATACAAATTTATTTATCCCTGTAAGGAATTGGGAATTGCATGCAGCAGCTCCCCACCCAGATCAACACATATACATAGCTCATATAAATAAAGAAAAAAATACTCTCACAAAACAAAAAAATAACATCCTAGGCTATTAGATTAAAAAAACTATATGTGGAATTGACAGTAATACATAAATACACTGATAAATAACTACAAAGATCTGACCAACAATCTAAAAAGATACACAGGGTAATGATGCCATACAAAAGAATAAAAACCTTTCACTTGGAACGGAGAAGTATGAAGGACCCTAAATGTCCCTGTTATCCAAAGAAAATACTGTCAAACAGTTTCTATGGGGACTAGAGACAGGATAAGCTGCCATTAAAGTGTTTACAGATCTTTTTTTGTGTTAAATATATTTTAGTAAAATTAAAAAGATAAAGTAACATCAACCACATCTTGACCACACAATTCCAGAAAGTCTGACTAATGCAAATGATGTTTAGTAAACTTTTGCTCAATGTGACTTTGATGTTATCTGAACTCCTTCTTAAAGACTTCTTAAAGTGTTCTTCTCCTGCGATAAAGTTAGAAGGATGTGTAATGGAGACGGGTCAGGGTGGAGTAAGGAGGGGGTATGTTAACCAACATGTTCAAAGAGCTGGTCTTTCCACTTCAGAGAGAATATTCCAGAACGATGAGAGAAGTGAAAGTTCAGCTCCGAGTGGGATTCCACTGGAAAGGAGTCGAAGAAATTACACAGCTTCAATTATACATCACAAAGGGGCGAAAGAGCCCCACTGGATATCAGAGGAGGAAATGTGGAAAAATGGGAATGCCAGGGTCTTGTAATATGTGCGTCCTGTATGCGTGTGTGTGTGTGTGTGTGTGTGTCGCACCTCTCCTCTGTTTTGACTTTGAAGTTGTGACTTTGTCACGAGCAGAAGCCGAGAGCAGGAGGTGGGAAAACGGAAACTTTACCACCTGAGGGTTGTGCGCACACACGGGGGTTGGCTTTTAGCATATTCCTGTCTAAATGAAAATTTGTGAAGCAAAACAGTTTGGAAAATATTCTGTCACCTGTACAGTCTCAGTGCTGCCCTTGAGCCCACGTGTGTGAGTGTGCATTTGCTCTCACATATATATATATACAAATAGTGTGTTTTCTGCGTGTCGTTAACCTTTCGTGTCTTGCTTTCTGCATGATCAGTTATTAAGTTGTCTGTCCTCTAGTATTTCAAACTTTTTTCATGTTTTCATGTATGTTTTGTTGTTGTACTCTATGCATGACGGAAAGGTTTGTTATTTTTGAGTAACATTAAACAGGTACGTCAGCAATCATGCCACCCTCTTGCCACCCCATTAATATTTCTCTAGATCCGCCCCTGGTTAAATGGGGGACAACATGACCTTAACTTTCTGTCCAGGTCAAAGGCCAGTCAGTGATCAACGAGGCTGTCTGAGGACAGGTGATGTCCAGCAGAGTCATTACTACAGTTCATCTTCTTGTTCTTCACCTGCTCTGCCTCGTGTCACATACGGTCATTTAAGTGGTTTTTCACGAAAACCTGCAGTCCTTTAGTTTTAGAGCTAAAGGCTTTTAGAGTTCCATTAAATATCTTTAGGTCTTAGTATTCTTACCTTTCAGGGATTGCAGTGACAATGGAAGCCTGAATGATTCAAATAAAGTTTACCTAAACAAACCATGAAGTCTGCTCACTTATCTGTTTTAATTCCAGTTCTTGATAATCTTATTGTATCTTATGTGAGATTCTGGTTCATTATCAGTTCTCCTGTTGATTACTTTTCAGATCTCGTCTTGAAAGTGTCAACAAGGTCTCGCAGCAGAAGCTTTGTGTTGAGACACTGGCACTTCTCCTGTTAGCTTGTTAGCAGTTATAGTGCAAGGGTGAGAGTCTAAAAACTATTTGAAAGTTTTTTTAAGCCAATCCAGTATTTAACAATTATGGTGGTGAAAGTCAGTTTATGAAATGTTTATGGTTTAGATAACATGAAGGTTTCACAAATAGAAAAGTGGTAGCTGAACATCTCATTGGTGTTTTTAGATGCTGGATACTTTGGAATAAAACTCTTTATAGTTTGGTCTATAGCTTGGTGTTTGTGTCCAGTTTTATGCTCAGCCATGTGTCACTTGTCCTGGAAAAAAACTGTGCAAATGTGCCACTTTTGTTTGTACTGCATGTAAGTGAAGAACAGTCTTTTTTTTAATCAGTTCTCCTGGACTCCCAAATCTGTCTCTCTGGACCATTTGTAGGGCAGGGAGTTACATGTCCGGGTGGCACCCTCCAGGGTGGCCATTTGTCACCTGTCCTCAAGACTTCCTGCAGCTTCTAAAGAGGTTGAGGTCAGCGTCCTTGCATCTCCCTGTCCTCAACAATGTCAGCAGTGCAGCACAGATAAATGACCTGACAAGCCCACAGAATGTAACCCAGTGTTAGAAAGGCCACAAGTAATCCTTCAAGCTCCTTTTTTTTCCTTATCCATTATTCCTTTTTATTACATTTAGGTATTTGACTCTCTTAAATCTCACTTAAGTTTTGCTTTAATTTAGTTTTATTTGTTAAGATTGTTTGATTAAAAATACTTTATACTTAATACTTAAAACTTAATTTATCATTTGATAGGATAAAAAAGTGTTTCAGAGTCAGACCGACACTTAAAATCTATTCAAATCATCTTTTTTAACCTCCTTTGTCAGTCATTTTGTAGAATGTATCTTCTCTTTGCAGATGTTCTCCCATTATATGTGTCTCTAAAAATAATGTGTTAGTTGTAGAAAAACTACAAAATTCAATAC